TTTCACCTTACTCTGCAAGACGTATTGATAGGAATAATAACTTCTAAATGCCCCTTACTCAATTATTTGTTACTGATTGCTAAGGTATATCTTTGGGATTGTAGAAGGTCTGATACGCTTCCAAATATAACTGGTTTCAAGCTAAAGGTCAAAAATAAATATGAGGCAGAGAAATATATATGTATTAAAAACAATACAATAGAAAAGTTTACTAGGAAATGGGTGATAACCTCTGGCTCTGTGCTTCTATAAGTTAGGTTTAGTATTATTATAATTGTCGTTGCATTATATTGTTACTTTTAAGATACTGTGTACTAGTAAGGCACTGTGTAATTGTTATGCTATGGTTACTGCGTAAGTGTGTAAGTGTGTAAGTAAGTTTATTTTAGTATTATTAGTGTAATAGTAAGTATGCACTGTGTAATTGTAGTTTTATAAGAAATAAACAGACATATTAAATAAAAAAATTAAAAAAAATAGTAGACTAATGGTTTCATAAGGATGTGGTAAAGTAGATTTGTTTTACCTGAACCTGAATTTCCAGATATTAGCTAGCATCCTGAAATTGGATTTGGGCATATACTTGTAAGGCTGTTTGAAGTTTATATTTTCATCTTCATTGAAATCGTAATTTGGAAATTCCATTCTACTATTATGTTAGATAAGTTGAGATAAGTTTTTATATAATGTACTAATATAATGGATATTGAAAGATTCAAAGGACTCAGTATTCCTAAAATTGAAGCAGGAAAAATGACTGAAGTTGTCAGGGATGCTATAAAAGAAGTTCAAACTAATAAGCAGAATGTATACGAAAAGACGTCTTAAGCCCTGAAACCTCTAACCCGAAAAGTTTGACAAAGAGATAGAGAAAACCAGTAAATTGCGAGAAAATGTTACAAAACAAGTTGTCCCATAATATGAGCAAGTTCAAGATTAGCATTACCAGGCCTGAGTGGTGAGGCACCCAAAATGGTAGCTGATATGAATAAAGGATTCACTCAAGGAGAATTGGCTTTCATACAAAACCAGGGATTGCCATTACCGGCTGACATTTTTTGCGAACCTTAAAAGAGTCAAATTATGTGAAAGCCTGTGAATATTAGCTAAATCTGGTGAATTAAATAAGGGCTTAGGCAGGAAAAAAGCCCATTTAAGCACAACAAAAACAAACAGAAAGAAAAATAAGGATCAAATTGCTGAATATGATGAAGAAATTGACATCATAAAAAAATACAGACAAAGAATTGGTGTTTTAGGGGAAGGCTAAAAGACATTGGAAGTTGGTAAGGCTATAACAAAAACGCCCACAAAATCTCGTTGAATCTCCCCGACTAGAACAAACCGGAAAAGACAAGGGACTTCCGCTATTCACATGTCACACGTCTATCAAAATGTCAACGCGGGAACGGACTCGCCTGGGCTGCATGAATGAAAAATCAAAACATTGTAGCGATGAACATTAGTTTTTTAAAAACTCATCGGGATTCTAGGATTTTACACAGCAGAACAGCTAAAAAAACCTGTCAAATAATGTGAAGGAAAAGAATTTTTAAGTGACAGCCGTCGAAATTACTGTGAATTTGGATTTTCGGTGCAGTTATAAAAATTAGGAAAGTGATTCTCAGAAAATTGTAATATTCGACGATTTTATTTGTGGTAAAAATCAAAAGCCGCTTATTGATTATTTCATTCAAGGGCGACACAAGAACTGCAGTGTTATTTACCTTTCACAATCATTTTATAAAACTCCAAAAGTTACCAGTCATTGATATCAACATTGACATCAACTGCAGTCATTATTTTATTTATGATTTCCCAAGAAGTGATGAAAGAAATATGATTTCTAGAGAGCTGAATGTAAGAAAAGGATTAATATATTAAAGCCACAAAACAACCATACTCATTCCTGTATGTTGATAAACCTATGAAAACAGTTAAAAGAAACTTTTATGGAAATATATAATATAATAATATAGATGGGAATTTTCAATCAACAACCCAATTATAATCAATCATTTACAAAAGGAAAACGTGGTACTACTGGACCTCCTGGACCTCCTGGTGCTACTGGTCCTCGCGGTGCTACTGGTGCTCATGGTGCACCGGGCACTGGTTTTAATCACACAGCAGATGGGAATTATGACATGGTAAACAAAAAACTGACAAATATGGCTGAAGGAACTGCTTACAGTGATGCCCTAACAAAAAACCAACTTGATACTAAACTATCACTTTCTGGTGGTTTAATGACCGGCAATTTGGATATGAATGACAATAGGATATATATTGTGGCTCAACCAGATGGTGATAATCAACCAGCTACAAAAATTTGATCTTAAAAAAAATTCCTGGATAAGTCCAGTGGAGTTATGGCAGGACCACTAAATATGTCCAACAATAAAATAACTGGCCTGCCGAAGGCAACAGCAAATGGGGATGCGGTGGACTTTGAATTTTTTTATAAGTATACCCCAAGAGGGACTAGAACCAGTAATATACAATTTCTGTTTAGCAATATCGGATTGTTCGGTATAAGATAGAGTGGATATGAATATTCTAGTGAAGCTGCGACTATAGGGTGGTCTAATAAATAATAATTTTTTACAGAGAGAGGGCACTAATTCTATGACTGGTGATTTGAATAATTTTATGATAAACACAAAAATAACCAATCTAGCTTACCCCCAATCAGAGAAAGATTGTGTCAATCTTAAAACACTAAACACACACATTATAAAGCCGTCTGATCATACCAACAAATTTGCATTTGTTATGGATCCCACAAATGGTTTTTTACAATGGACTGATTTACTAACCGACAGTATTGCGTTGAACAGCATTGGTGATTTAGAAACAACATCGGGTAATTATCATACATACAATAAAAATGTGAGTTTTGCCTCCATTAGAAAGAACTCAGAAGGATATAAATGGCGATTAGCTATCCAAGGCCATCCCCTTCAAACAGACAAAAATATATCTTATGTTTGGAAATCCTTACCACAGACTATCAATTGTAGCATGAATCTATAATTACTGTTGATACAACTATCAGCCAGGGAGTAACTGTGAAAAGATGGCATGTCAATAAGTACTCACATGAGTATAAAACTTGCTCCAATCAGACAGAATTTATGTATTACCATAAGCTTGTAGCAGTATTCAGTAAAACAGCTTCATCCAAGCCTTATTTTCTACACGTGCAAAATATTATGGCGCAGGCAGAATCTGACCTGGGAGTTTATCCAACTAATTTTGATAAATATTACCTGATAACATACGGTATTCTCGGCGAGGCAATGGATTTAGATGCAAATAAGACTTACGGTTACCATACGGCGAGGGGATATTCCGCCCACAAAAGTTGTTTACAATGTTGATCTCGATATGAACCGAAAGAAGATATTAAATATTGTTCCAGATAAAAGTCGTAATAATAGTGCGGCTACTGTGAAGATGGTAAAATATCTGTATCCTTTTACAAAAAATAATGTATACAGGACAAGTTTTGAAGAATTTTATGATTTCAGTGATGCCAGTAACTATAAACTGACAGGTGGGGCGTCAGGCATGACATTCACAGGCATTAATGCTAACATAACGTTCCCCCAAATGAATATTAGTGATGTTCAGAAAGGAGAATTGAGATTAAAAAATCAAACATTGAAATTAATATTATCTGATGGAATGGACTTTACAATATGCGTTGTTATGCAATTATGTCTAAATAGGTCAATGAGTATTAAAACATTCATAGACGGTAGTATTAATGGAAGATCACATTTGATTTATAACAGTACAACAAAGAAATTAGAATTGGATACTGCTGGTCATAATGATAGACGTTCTATCACTGTACCAAGCAGTTTCAATGGTAAACGAGTTGTGTTTTGGCTACCTAAAAAAGGCATAGGAAGGTTCATAGTCAAAGCGTCAATATCCAATTAGGCTTCTACACTAACACGATTTCCAAGTTGTGCATCCAGGAATAACTATAGATTCGAAATATTCTCACATGACGCTGTAATTTATAAAGTAATGCACTCTTCAAAGTTCTACGATTTTGATTCTGTGTAATTTCATAAAATAACGTTACAGGAAAAGCTAAACGGTTCATATCAGGGGGGGGTAAGCTACTTCCCATACATTCTCTTAAATGAAATCCAAACGATGTTCTCACAACTTGCAAAGCGATCAGCAAAGGTCTTGCCAGCGGATTTGTGTAGTGATCATGCGCATTACGTAAAAATCCATAGATCAACGATCTTGAGAAGAAACAAAAACATGGCGATCGAAGGCGGGACTGTTTCTCATGATTATATTTTGGTAATTCGCAAATTTATTGATTTTATGTCCCTTTTCAGACATAGTGTGTGGTTTTCTTTTTCTGTTAAACAATTTCCCTCTGCAGAGTTTGGAATATGCAACATATAGCTCGATCCGTACAGCTGATAAGAAACGCCGAAGAGCTAGAGTTGAGCTATCAAGCAGTGTTTTGCTGCAAACCTTAGGAAAGTTAAAGTCGCTTCAAGGTGCAGAGCTTTCAGTAGTAGTTGTGATTTGTTTATTAGGATCGTTTTGAATTTTAACTTTGGATTCAAGGTGTTGACTGATCGTAATAAACGAAGTGAAATGTTATGAAGTGTGAATATTTATTCAGTTATGATTGTAGAGCTGTAAGCTCATATTTATAAAGCTCTCTGAATTACTTGCTTCCGATAAATTTGACACTTTCTCCAGTAATTTTTATCAGCATCAAGTTATCCTTACCCGGCAAAAACGATGTAACCTATAAATCGATCGAGCGCCTTGTTTTTGGTTAAGATCTAACACGGTTTCCCCCGCAATTTCAGTACCGAAAGACAAATACGATATGAAAGAAAAACAAAGATGCATGATATTATTTTTTCCAATTTTTATTTTTTCAGTAAACATTTCTGATTTCCTCTGCCGGTCGCTTCTTGCTTCTAAAAAGTCTAAAAATATTTACTGTGGGAAAAGTACTGCAATTTTCCGCTGACCACCACGCGGGGTGACCGCTTTGCAAGTTGTGAGAACATCGTTTCTCGGTCCCAG